ACCCCAACCACTAACCCCAGCCCCAAAGAGTACCCACTACTCATTACTCACTAAACACTACTGCCTACTCGCTATTCGCTATTCACTTCTCACTACCCCCTACTCACTATTCACGACTCACTACTCACTATCCACTACTCACTACCCACCACCCACTACTCGCTACTCACTCCTCACTACCCACTACTCAATATTCACTACTCACTGAGCACCACTCACTACTCCCTACTAACTACTCACTGATCACTACTCATTACCCACTAACCACTATCCACTACTCACTACTCCCTACTAACTACTCATTGCCCACAAATCCCTATTCACTACCCACTACTCGCTACTCGCTACTCCCTACTCCCTACACAATACTGACAACACAGTACTCAGAACTCACTATTCGCAACTCCCATACTCGCTACTCAACACTTACTACTCACTTCCCGCTACTCACTATTCACTACTCGCTACTCACTACTCACTACTCACTAGTCACCACATATTCTCTAGTCACTAATTACAATTCACTAGCCACTAGTCAGTAGTCTTTGCCCACTACCCACTACTCACCAATCGCTACGCACTACCCACTATTCGCTACCCACTTCTTACTACGCACTGCTCACTACTCCCTATTCCCTACTCCCTACTCGCTACTCACTACTCACTACTCATGACTCGCGACTCCCTATTAGTTACTCACTAGTCACTACCCACTACTCACTACTGACTACTCTCTACTCACTACTCACTACTCACTACGCCGTAGTCGCTCCTCACTACTCACTACTCGCTACTCCCTGCTCGCTACTCACTACTCACTACCCACTGCCACTACCCATTACTTTCTATTCATCATTACTCACTACGCACTACTCACTACGCACTACGTACTACTCAGTACTCACTACTCACTACTCACTTTTCACTACTCACTACTCGCTACTCACTCCTCACTACTCACTACCCACTATTCACTACTCACTACTCACTACTCACTACTCACTACTCACTACGCGCTACGCACTACCCACTACTCACTACTCACTACTCACTACTCACTAATCACTACTCGGCACCCACTACTCACTACCCACTACTCACTACCCACTACTCATTACTCCCTACTCCCTACTCAGTACCCACTACTCGCTACTCGCTACTCGCTACTCACTACTCACTACTCGCCACTCACTACTCACTTATCAGTACACACTCTACACTATTCACTACTCACTACTCCCCACTCCCTACTCCCTACTCCCTACTCGCCACTCACTACCCACTACTCACTACCAAATACTCACTACTCACTACGCACTAACTCACTACTCGCTACTCACCACTCCCTACTCCCAACTCCGTACTCCCTACACGAGGGGAGAAGGGTCCGAACCCCCCCCCCTCCTTTCCAGCGCCAAGGAGGGGAGGGGGGAGGGGGGGGTGGGGTTCTGGACCCCCTCCCCTCCCCTTATTCAGGGAGATCCACTGGCGCACTTTCCACATACGGCCACCAAGGAGAGACACTACCAGAAGGACAGAGACATCCACACGGAGGTCTTCAACCTAGAGGAGAGCTCCAGTCTGAAGAAGATCTACGGCCAGCAGAAGAGCTACAGACTGAAGGAGAGCCACACTAACTGACGACGTACGCAGACTACCGAAGAAGGCTACAATCCCTCCAACGCGTACCACAAAGGCCTCGCTAAAGCACGATACAGGGCTACCATAAGGCGCTGGACTATGAACGCGACTCTAATGTGAAGGAGGAAGAGAGTTTGCACCAAGTGTCATGACATCGTTGACGAGGGTACATCGACTGCACACCAACGGTGGATCCAGATACGATCCATCAACCTCCACTTCCTCGGCAAGAGTGGCACAACCCACCTGAAGCTGAACTGCCGAACTACGACTACAGACACCTACGCTACACTGGATACAGGACCGCGTCTACTACCACGCTGCGTTCCATTGCCCGACCTCCTGAGAGAAACCCCGCCGTCCAAACTCCACCTCGTCCAAGCTCCCTTTGTACCTTGGGTATCTGTTGGAGGCGGCCGAGGGTTCTGAACTGGACGGGCCCCGAAGAGAGCGGTCAACTCCTGGGATCCATCTGGCGCAATGTTTCGTGCTAGATCCGTTTTCGAAGGTCCCGGGGCCCGAAACGACGGCCACCGCAAACGGCAAACACCTCCTCGAACCCAGAGCCTCGCACTCTCGCCCCCCCCTTCCTGCTCGCTGGGACCCTTGCCGGGCCACCTCAGATCCCCAGCCTGCTCCAACCCCTCGGTACCTCGGGTGTCCCCGTGCTCCCGCGCCACCAGGCGGGGAATGGTACCAGCTTTCCCCCGCGTATTGCAAAGGGAAATTAGGACACACAAATAAATACACACAAATAAAAAATATCCCCATATTTTCCCATATTTTCTGGGTTTCTGTCTTCCCCCCCACTTCCCATATTTTCCCATATTTTCCTGGGAATCGAGGATTAATTGTGTCTGTGTGTTTTTTTCCCTCCACGCGTGGGGGGCGCTCGCTTGCGTTGAGCAGCAGCGGGGAGGCGGAGGAGGATGGGGAGGCGGAGGAGGAAACGGAGGAGGAGGAGGAGGAGGAGGAGGAGGAGGAGGAGGAGAAGGAGGAGGAGGGAGGAGGAGGAGGAGGAGGAGGGGGAGGAGGAGAGGAGGAGGAGGAGGAGGAGGAGGAGGAGGAGGAGGAGGAGGAGGAGAGGAGGAGAGGAGGAGCGAGGCCCCGCGAGGCTCCGAACTGCCCAGGACGGCCAGGGACAGGGATGGGCCGAAAGTGACCACGGAGGAGGAGGAGGAGGAGGAGGAGGAGGAGGAGGAGGAGGAGGAGGGGAGGAGGAGGAGGAGGAGGGGGGTGAGGGAGGAGGAGGAGGAGGAGGAGGAGGAGAGGAGGACGGGAGGGGAGAGGAGGCGGCCCCTCCGAGCGCAGGCCTGGCGGGGCCGGAGCCCCGCGAGGCTCCGAAATGCCCGGCCGGCCAGGGACAGGAGGGGCGGAAAGTGACCACGGAGGAGGAGGAGGAGGAGGGAGGAGGAGGGAGGAGGAGGAGGAGGAGGAGGAGAGGGGGGTGAGGAGGAGGCGGAGGAGGAGGAGGAGAGGCAGGAGGAGGGAGGGAGGGGAGAGAGGCGGCCCCCTCGAGCGCAGGCGGCCGGGGCCGGAGCCCCGCGAGGCTCCGAACTGCCCAGGACGGCCAGGGACAGGAGGGGCGAAAGTGACCACGGAGGAGGAGGAGGAGGAGGAGGAGGAGGAGGAGGAGGAGGGGGAGGCGGAGGAGGAGGAGGGGGGGTGAGGAGGAGGAGGAGGAGGCGGAGGAGGAGGAGGAGGAGGAGGAGGACGGGAGGGGAGAGGAGGCGGCCCCCTCGAGCGCAGGCGGCCGGGGCCGGAGCCCCGCGAGGCTCCGAACTGCCCAGGACGGCCAGGGACAGGAGGGGCGAAAGTGACCACGGAGGAGGAGGAGGAGGAGGAGGAGGAGGAGGAGGACGGGAGGGGAGAGGAGGAGGAGGAGGAGGAGGAGGAGGGGAGGAGGAGGAGGGGGGTAGAGGAGAGGAGGAGGAGGAGGAGGAGGAGGACGGGAGGGGAAGGAGGCGGGCCCCCCGACGCAGGCGGCCGGGGCCGGATGCCCCGCGAGTGCTACGAATGCCCAGGGACGGCCAGGACAGGAGGGGGCGAGTAGTGACCACGGAGAGGAGGAGGCGAGGAGGATGGGAGGAGGAGGAGGAGGAGGAGGAAGAGGAGGAGGAGGGGGGTGAGGAGGAGGAGGAGGAGGAGGAGGAGGAGGAGGTGAGGAGGAGGACGGGAGGGGAGAGGAGGCGGCCCCCTCGAGCGCAGGCGGCCGGGGCCGGAGCCCCGCGAGGCTCCGAACTGCCCAGGACGGCCAGGGACAGGAGGGGCGAAAGTGACCACGGAGGAGGAAGGAGGAGGAGGAGGAGGAGGAGGAGGAGGAGGAGGAGGAGGTCTGAGGAGGAGGAGGAGGAGGACGAGGAGGAGGAGGAGGAGGAGGAGGAGGAGGAGGAGGAGGAGGAGGGGGCAGGAGCAGGACCGGAGTCAGCCTGGGATGCTGCAGCGAGGCGGCAAGTACACCCTCTGGTCCCAAGGTCCCCGTTTCCGTCAGCCCCCCACCGGCATCCTTTCCCGCTGCGCGGGGGGGCCCCGCCTTGAGAGAGGGCCGCCCCCATTTTCCCCGCAATGCGGGCGGGAGCTCCGTGTAGAAGGAAACCGCCAGCCGCGCTCCGAGCCAGAAGGGAGTGCGGGGGTCAAAGCTCGAAGGGATGCCCAGCAACAGCCCGGCTTTGAAAAGACAGTGCCCTCCATTCGTGCAGCGATCGAACAGCGTTCAACATCGGGTCGAACAGATCATACGTCTCCAGCGAAAGCCCTGCTGTGAAATGGAACCGCCCTCCACCCATGCTGCGTAAGACTCAGGCGACGGCCCCACTTTGCAAGCGTGCTGGCCTTCATCCGCATGACTGCTGGAAACTGTTACTACGAATGTGCGCGGGGTTAATGCAAAAAGCGCATATTGAAAACGATCGGCCCTACGTCCGTGAAACTCTTGGAAGATTGCACCACGAATGTGCACAGCACTATAGCAAGAGCCACATGTTGAAAGCAACTGTTCCTCCATCCGCGGAACTGCTGGGAAATTGTTCCAACTTGGAGAAAGTAAGGACATCTCCATAGAAACGCCCGGCCGTCTAGCCTACGGAAACATCCAGTAGTACGACTAGGAAGAGCTATCATCTTGCACAGCTGTGTTCTAAAACTCGGAGCCCTAAATGTTCGTAGTGGTGGCGGTGGTCGTCGTCGTCGATCGTCCCCCCTCCCCTGGCCTACCCCCCAGCCCCCTCGGTCCCCCTGGCCCTGGAGCCCAAGACTTTCATATTGATGGTCGTCGTCGTTCGTCCCCCATGTCCTGGCCCACCCGTGACCCTGGCCCTGGCCCCCTCGCTCCCCTGACCTGGGAGCTATGTATGTTCGTTGTGGTGGTGGTGGTGGTCGACTCTGGTCCCCCCTACCCTGATCTACCCCCTGGTCCTGGCCCTGGCCCCAGCCACATCGCTCCTCCTGGCCCCGAAGCCTGTGGTGGTCGTGGTCCGTCCCCTCTCCGCTGGCCTACCCTTGGGCCCTGGCCCTGGCAACCTCGCTTCCGCGGCCCCAGAGTACTCGATTCTCGTGGTAGTGGTGGTGGTCGTCGTCGTTACTCCTCCCTGCCCTGGCCTACCCCTGGTCCCAGCCCCCCCCGCTACCTGATCGTGCAGGGGCCAGAGCACGCGTGCAACTTGTTCCTGGCATGCTGAAGTGGGAGGGAGGAGGAAGAGGAGGATGCAGGAGGGGGAGAGGAGGGAAGGAGAAGGGAGGAGGAGGAAGGGAGGGAAGGAGGGAGGGAAGGAGGGAGGGAGGGAGGGAGGGGAAGGGGGGGGGGGGAGGAGGAGGAGGAGGAGGAGGAGGAGGAGGAGGAGGGAGGAGGAGGGAGGAGGAGGAGGAGGAGGAGGAGGAGGAGGAGGAGGAGGAGGAGGAGGAGGAGGAGGAGGAGGAGGAGGAGGAGGAGAGGGGGGGGGGCGAGGTCGCCAAGAACGACGTCCGTGCAGAAAACGAACCTTCGGCCCCCAAAACGTCAATCACAGCATCCTCAAGATGGACGTCTTCCGAACTAGTCATTTCGTTAGTGACCCAGTTGAAAACTCTAGAGAGGAGCGAGTTGATTTCTTAGTGCTTCTTCTGGAGCCTTTCTTGCTAGTTACGCCCGCTACTAGTCGAGACCCCTGGACAGAGCGAACTAAACTTCTCGGAGGCCTGCACAGATGTTGGGTCAGCACTGGGCACCCCTCCCCGCACCTCCTGGGCGACGCCGATGACGCGCGGGGCGCGCCGGGGAAGGGGTGAGATTAGGAAGGGGTGAGATTGGGAGGGGCCAACGCAGACCCAGGAAATTAGCGCGGGCCTCCGCATGTCTATGCTCATGCAGTTGTTTGACCCATCAGGACCAGAGTTTGCCCATGCCGTCGCACTGGTTGGGGGGCGCCGAGGCGCAGTATTCCCAGTGGTCGTGCCCAACGTTGTCGCTGCGGCAGATGCCGATGGTCGAGTCGTCGTTCACGGAGGCGCACGCAACATGATGCGTAAGGCCCACGAATCTGGTCCAAACCACCTGCTCGTACACTTGCCAGGTCTGGCCACACTGCGTGAACTCAGACCCCGCGTGGTCCACCCCCCTTGGCTGCGCGGGCGGGGGGGGTCCCACATGCTCCAGGCGCTGCTGCCTGGAATGTCCATGAAGCCACCCACCGATGCGGGCCTCCAGCGTGGACTCGCCATCATGGAAGGAGATCTGCACGAGGCGCGAGTCCGAGATGTCGGCGTGGCACTCTGGGTCCTCTTTGGCGATCAGCTGCGCGAGAGCCGGGTACAGGAAGCATGCAAGAGCGAAACATCCCCGTCGCATGCCCATTACCAAGGATATGGAGACTGATATGTCCTGCTGGCGAAAATCGTATCGGTATCAGGAGAGAGAGCCTGAAGCCATCAAGCCGGCATAGCGCCGAAATTGGGCCAAAAGCCTGCAGCAGCCACGTTTTCGAAGCCCACTGGCCATTTGGGCGGGGGTGGTCTAGTGCGTTTCCTTTTCCAGTTTTCCGGCAACCCCTCTCCCTACCCTACCCCCTGGGCCTCCTGCAACATATCCCCCCCCGCAAAGACCCTGCAAAGACCATGCGCCGCGAAAACAAGCATCGAAAAGGACGCGGAGGAGGCAGAAGAGCACGCAATTGGCGACCATTCGGGAAAAATGCAAAGCAAAGCGACCACGCAATACCCCGCAATACCTTGCAAGCCAGGCCCCTGCAACACCCGTCAGCACTGGCCCTGCAATACACTGCAACATCCTGAGAAGATCTTACAATACCTTCCGTCGCAATTGCCCTCCTCCTCCTCCTCCTGCTCCTGGTCCTTCTCCTCGCATCCCTTCCTCCGACACTCCTGCTCAGAAAAGCTGGCCCTTCTGCCCTGGCCCTCTGTCTGTGGTTGCCTGCCGCGTACCCGTTGGTCGCCGGCGACCTTCCACGCGACGGCAGTCCGCCAGCACGCCGACGACGATCGCTGTCGCATGCTCGCGTCTGGCTTGTCACGTCGGGCATCCGTCGGCGACAGGTGGCCAAGCCAAAGACCCCGCTCGCTGGGCGCGGCGCAGCAGTCGGGCCGGACGGGGTGGCACAAGGGCGTGTAGCGAATCAGATCGCGTCGCTGGTCTTCCCGCCACGTATCAAGGAAACGCGCCCGACTCCGGGCCGAAACCAGCTGCAAGCAGCAGATGTCGCACCCCCCCCAACACAACGCATAATTGTTGCTCTATGTTCGGCATCGGGGGTCCCTTACGAGGCCCCGGGCAGTCGGAGAACGGCCCAGGATAAGAACCTGGTCCCTGGGAGGAGGTCCGGATCTCTGGGGAGCCACACCGTGGAAAACAAGCACGACGTCGGATGTCTGGGGGGCCCTCCTCCTCCTCCTCCTCCTCCTCCTCCTCCTCCTCCTCCTCCTCCTCCTCCTCCTCCTCCTCCTCCTCCGGTTTCCTCCTTTTCCTCCATGCATCTGTCAGCCACCGCGTCCGCGCGACAGCCAAGTGCTAGAATGTTTCTTAATTGCCCGGCAGAGTGTCTGCGCTTGCCTTCCGCTGCCGCCAGGCTCCCGTGGCCACGGGAGCTGGTGGCAGAGAACCACCAGATCCCGGGCCCCGCTCGGCCGGTGGTGCAGCCAGCGGGTCGGACGAGGGGGGGGGGATGGATGGCTAAGGGGGCGTCATCGAATCAGCTCACGCAATAGGTCCTCCCGGCGCCCGTTGGCGCCGACGCGGGAGCCACCGCGCATCGAAGAAGTTGCGCCCGGCGGCGGGACCGAAACCAACTGCACACACCAGATTTCGACACCCCCCCCCCCCGCCCATTTCCCAATCCCCAAACGCTCACCCCACCCCAGAAGAAGCCACCCGCGCCACCCGCGGAAAAAGGCAGGCAGGGGAGACCCCAACCCAGCGGTGGCGCGTGGAAAATGTTCCCCGCCTGGGTCTTCCGCGCGCTCCTCTTCTTGTTGTGTTTGTCGGTTTTGTCCAGCCCGTGGCCAAGTTTCTGTTGATTCCCCAACCAATGTTTGCACTTACGGGTTCTTACCTCTCTTCCCAAGAACTGGCCCCGAATGCCAGTTTGGCGGTTCTGTGCTCACCGACGCCGCCCCGTCGCCGCCTCGTCGCCGCCCATCGTCTGGGCGTGATTGTCGGTCTGGCGGGTCCCTGCTCGCCATCGCTGCTACTCCGCCGCCTCGTCGCAGACCGTCGTCTGGGCCTGGGTGTCGGTCTGGCGGTTCCGTGCTCGCCGTCGCCGCTCCGTCGTCGCCGTCGTGGCCCCGCCGCCGCCCCGCATAAATTGCACCGGAAAACATGCACCTCATTGATTCTCTTGTCTACACATATAAGACCTACCCCACCCCCCCGATTATCTTCGCGCGCGCGCGGAATCATTCGAAACCCATTGCGCGCGTGCTGTGGTGGCGGCGCGATCCCTGTCAACAGTGGCATGCGAGCCAATCGCGCGGGCCGGCCGCGCGCGCACGTCGACACCCCTTCCAAGACTTACATCACCGACGCGAAGACACCATCATCGTAATCGGCCTGATCAGCATCGGCGCCGTCATCGGCCTTGCCTTCCCCATCGTCCCCATCGCCCCCAAAATCGCTAAAGTCATCATCGCGTCTACTTTTTGTCAACGTCGCCATGATACCGCGTCCGCCCAAGCCACCGACTCGCGCTGAGGTCCCCGCGCGTCAGCGCGGCCTGCGAGACGCGCTGGGAATTACCCACCGCCGCCGCGTCGGTCGCGCCAGACTAGCCGGCCGCTTCGCGCGCGAATCTGCGCGAACAAACGCGGCCGCAGCGATGCGCCAACCAGCGCGAGGCCGGCATCACAATTGCGGCCTCATGGGTTTTGCAAACCAGGTCGCGGGTGGGCGAGCGGGAAGATTGCTCGAGAAGTGGAATTGAACACCTAGGGAGCACCGCGCGTGTTGCACCGCATGGATTCTGATTCTCTGATTTTTATGTAGTTTATTTAAAATTAAAACAAGTGGCACGCGTGCCCTGGCTCTTGCACAAAGGTGTCCGAGGCTCAGGAGGGCTGCCCTGGGAAGCCTGGGCGGGGGGGGCAGAGGGGGGGGGCAAGGGGGCGAACGACGCGACACGACACGACACGGAAATAAAAGTGGCCCAGGGGGGCTACCCTGGGAAGCGTGGACAGGGGGGGGGGACGAACGACACGACGAACGACGAAAATAAAGGGTTCCGTGGCCCAGGGGGGCTACCCTGGGAAGCGTGGACAGGGAGGGGGGCGCGGTGCCGAAATAAAGTGGGCGGGGCGGAGGGGGCGCTGGGCGAGCGCTGGAGCCGTGGGGGGCGCTGAGACGTGTGGGGGAGGGAGCGGAGGATGGGGGGGGGGGGTCGGGGCGGAGGGGGCACTGGGCGGCGCTCGAGCCGCGGGGTGAGCGCTGAGACGGCGCGGGGGAGGCGGCGGACGGGGGGGGGCGGTGCCGAAATAAAGTGGTCGGGGCGGAGGGGGCACTGGGCGGGCGCTGGAGCCGCGCGGGGGCGCTGAGACGGCGCGGGGGAGGGGGCGGAGCGGGGAGGGGGGTGCGGTGCCGAAATAAAGTGGTCGGGGCGGAGGAGGCACTGGGCGGGCGCTGGAGCCGCGGGGGGGCGCTGAGACGGCGCGGGGGAGGGGGCGGAGCGGGGGGGGGGTGCGGTGCCGAAATAAAGTGGTCGGGCGGAGGGGGCACTGGGCGGGCGCTGGAGCCGCGGGGGGGCGCTGAGACGGCGCGGGGGAGGGGGCGGAGCGGGGGGGGTGCGGTGCCGAAATGAAGTGGTCGAGGCGGAGGGGGCACTGGGCGGGCGCTGGAGCCGCGGGGGGGCGCTGAGACGGCGCGGGGCAGGGGGCGGAGCGGGGGGGGGTGCGGTGCCGATAAAGTGAGTCGGGGCGGAGGGGAGGGGCTGGCGCTGGGAGACGGCGCGGGGGAGGGTGCGGAGCGGGGGGGGGGGTGCGGTGCCGAAATAAAGTGGTCGGGGCGGAGGGGGCACTGGGCTTGCGCTGGAGCCGCGGGGGGGCGCTGAGACGGAGGGGGCGGAGCGGGGGGGGGTGTGTTGCGGTTTGTCCGAAAATAAAATGGTCGGACGGACGAGGGCGCCGGGCGGGCGCTGGAGCCGCGGTGGGGGCGCTGAGACGGCGGCGGGCGCGGGGGGGGGGGGTGAGGGGGGGGGGCCGGTGCCGAAATAACAATGATCGGGGCGGAGGGGGGCGCTGGGGAGGGCGCTAGAGCCGCGGGGGGGCGCTGAGACGGCGCGGCGGGACGGGGGCGAGAGCGGGGTGGTGGGTGCGGCGCGAAATTAACGTGGATTCGGGCGGAGGGTGGGCACTGTGCGAGCGCAGGAGCCGCGGGGGGGGGGTGTATGGCGCTGAGGACGGCGCGGGGGAGGGGGGGGAAGGCCGGGGGATGGTGCGACGAGCGGTGCCGAAATAAAGTGGTCGGGGCGGAGGGGGCACTGGGCGAGCGCAGGAGCCGCGCGGGGGCGCTGAGACGGCGCGGGGGAGGGGGCGGAGCGGAGGGGGGGCGCGGTGCCGAAATAAAATGGTCGGGGCGGAGGGGGCACTGGGCGGGCGCTGGAGCCGCGCGGGGGCGCTGAGACGGCGCGGGGGAGGTGGCGCTGAGACGGCGCGGGGGAAGGGGCGGAGCGGGGGAGGGGGTGCGGTGCCGAAATAAAGTGGTCGGGGCGGAGGGGGCGCTGGGCGGGCGCTGGAGCCGCGGGGGGGCGCTGAGACGGCCGCGGGGGAGGGGGCGGAGAGGTGGGGGGGTTGCGGTGCGAAATAAAGTGACGGCGCGCGAGGGGGCCATGGGCGGGCGCTGGCGGAGCGGGGGGGCGCTGAGACTGCGCGTGGGAGGGGTGAGGGCGGAGCGGGGTAGGGGGGTTTTCTTGTGCGCGGTGCCGAAATGAAGTGGTCGGCGCGGGGGGGCACTGGGCAGGGCGCTTGGTGCCGTGGGCGCTGGACGGCGCGGGGTGAGGCGGGGCGGAGCGGGGGAGGGGGCGCGGTTTTTTGCCGGAAATAAAGTGGTCAGGGGGGAGGGGCGGCGCTGGGGGGCGCTGGAGCGCGGGGGCGCTGAGAACGGCGCGGGGGAGGGGGGCGGAGCGGAACGGGGGGCTCGGTTTGCCGAAATAAAGTGGTCGGTGCGTGAGGTGGCACTGGGGACTATTTAGGCGGGCGCTGGAACCGCGCGGTGGGCGCTGAGACGGCGCGGGGGAGAAGCGGAGCGGGGGGGGGGTGCGGTGCCGAAAATAAAGTTGGTCGGGGCGGAGGGGGCACTGGGCGGGCGCCGGCCGCGCGGAGCGTGAGACGGCCCCGGGGGGGTCCCCCCGGGGG